TAATTGCATTCTACGAAGAAGTAAGTAGAAGTATAGATCAGGGTGTTGCAGTGGATGTGATCTACTTGGACTTTGCCAAGGCATTTGATACGGTTCCTCACAATAGGTTAGTTTTCAAACTAAAAGAAATTGGTCTAGATGAATATTCCTGTTCTTGGGTAGAACATTGGCTTAAGGACAGAGTACAACGAGTTGTCATTAATGGTAAATTTTCAGGCTGGACAAAAGTGGTAAGTGGTGTCCCTCAGGGTTCTGTTTTGGGACCACTTCTATTTAACATATTTATAAATGATCTTGAAATAGGCATTGAAAGCCATGTATCAGTGTTTGCAGATGACACAAAACTTTGTAAAGTAATAAAATGTGAGCAGGATATTGCTTTGCTGCAGAGAGATTTGGATAGATTGGGGGACTGGGCACTAAAATGGCAGATGAAATTTAACATAGAGAAATGCAAAGTTATGCACTTCGGGGTTAAGAATGCACAAGCAACTTACACACTAAATGGTAGTGAATTAGGGATAACCACACACGAGAAGGATTTGGGCATTGTTATAGACAACAAATTAGGCAGCAATATGCAATGTCAATCTGCAGTTGCTAAGGCCAGTAAGATTTTGTCATGTATAAATAGGGGCATAAATTCTCGGGATGAAAATATAATTTTGCCTCTGTATAAATCGCTGGTAAGACCACACCTTGAATATGCTGTGCAATTTTGGGCGCCTGTTCTAAAGAAGGATATCATGGCACTGGAGAGGGTCCAGAGACGAGCTACAAAATTGATAAAAGGAATGGAGCATTTTAGTTATGAAGAAAGGTTACAAAAATTAAATCTGTTTCGTTTGGAAAAACGGCGCCTGAGAGGGGATATGATAACTTTATACAAATATATTCGGGGCCAGTACAAACCTTTATCTGGAAATCTATTCATAAACAGGGCTATACATAGGACACGAGGTCACACATTTAGGCTGGAAGAAAGGAGATTTCATCTAAGGCAAAGAAAAGGTTTTTTTACAGTAAGAACAATAAGGATATGGAATTCTCTGCCTGAAGAGGTGGTTTTGTCAGAGTCCATACAGATGTTTAAACTGAAATTGGATAAATACTTACAAAAACATAACATACAGGGATATAATTTCTAATTAGTGGGGTAATAGCTGATTGATCCAAGGAGACATCTGACTGCTATTTTGGGGTCAAGAAGGAATTTTTTCCTAGTTTGTGGCAAAATTGGAAGTGCTTCAGACCAGGTTTTTTGCCTTCTTTTGGACCAACAGCAACAACATTTCTGAGGAAGGCTGAACTTGATGGACGCAAGTCTCTTTTCAGCTATGTAACTATGTAACTATGTAACTATGTAATATACAAATCCCTTTTTTTCCCATTTAAAGGCAAAATGTTCTTTTAGCTGTTGCAATTCTTTTTCTTCCACATAAAAGGGTAATGCCAATGTTTTTTGAACATTAAGTTTATAATTTGACAAGTAACTATATCTTTCAATTACTTGCATGGCAACTGGAACTGACTTACTTGGGTTGGTTAGCGTTATCAAAGTATCATCGGCATATTGACTTATCTTGAAATCTTTATCCCTTTTTTAAAACCCAGTTATATCCATATTATTACGTATTTCGTGTGCTAAGGGTTCAGCCGTTAGGATATACAATAGTGGGGAGAGAGGGCATCCTTGACGGGTATCATTTGATAGCATAAACCACTCTGACTTAATCCCCCCTCCTACTATCCTGCTAGATGGTGAAGAGTAGCAGGCCATTATCGCTGAAAGAATCTGGCCAGAAAATCCAAAAGCTTTTAACGTTGAATACATAAAATTCCAGCCGACCCTATCGAATGCCTTTTCGACGTCTAATGCCATCGCTAAGAAAGGGGTTTTATTCTCATGGATCTTAGTAAATATATTTAATATCCTCCTAATATGATTAGAGGACGCTCTTCCTGGTATAAAACCCACCTGATCCTTGGCAATCAAGAAAGAAATTATATTCTTGATTCTTTTAGCAATAATTGAGGCATAGATTTTATAGTCATTATTTAATAGGGCAATAGGTCGATAATTGGTTATTTCTTCTGGGTTTTTATTATTCTTTAGAATAGGAGTAATATTGGCTACCAGCATTTCCTTAGGTAATTTACCAGTATTAATCGCTAATTTGTAACATTCAACCCCTGAGCCAGTCTATCCCTATACATTTTAAAAAAAGAGTCCATGAACCGGTCTGGGCCTGGCGCCTTATTTTTTTTCATAGTATCTATCGAGTCAGTAACTTCTTGTAGAGATATCTCTGCATTTAGTTGATCTAATTGTAGTCTAGGGATATGAATACTCAAGAAATAGTTATTTATATCCTCTTGGGATGATATCATCGGTAGATTATATAGATTATAATAATAATCTCTAAATACCATTCCAATTTTCTTAGGATCTAATATGGTATCATTTCCCTGTTTTATTTTTGTAATTAGTTTATTTTTTTGTCGATTCTTCACTTTATTGGTAAGAATCTTATCAGCCTTATTCCCCCTCTAATAGTAGTTCATCCTCATAATCTGTAAATTTCTGTTTATTCTAGACATCAAAATTTCATAAATTTTATTTTCTATGATCCTGATCTGATTTGACATAGTTCTTACAGGGGCAGCGATATTTTCCTTGTAACATTCACTCAATTCAATATATAGACCAGATAAAGATTCTTGTCTATTTTTCTTATCTTTTGCTTATAGACTAATTAGGTGGCCCCTAATAACGCTTTTAAATGCGCACCATTTTATGTCAGGAGACACTTCATTATTGTCATTATCCTTCCAATACATGTCTATCTCCTTAGCAATCTGTTCCCTATTCGCTTTAGAGATTAATAACTTATTATTTAATTTCCAATCTGGTCTTTGCTTTAAAATATTCTTCTTTAGCTGTATTTTGACCAAATTATGGTCCGACCACGTGACCGTACCTATATTTGTAGACTGCACTTGTTCCAATAAGCTTCGATCTCCAAATATAAAATCTATTCTTGAATATGAGCAATGCGTCTTACTAAAACACGTAAAATCTTTCTCTGAAGGAAGAAAAATCCTCCAAGAATCATAAAGCCCTTCATTTTGAAAAATATTGCGAATTTTTTTTGCCAAAATAATAACATTTCTAGAGGGACCTTTAATCCTTTCAGAGCTTCTGTCTAAGTTAGGGTCAATTGTCAGATTAAAATCGCCCATAACAATAGTACGTCCTTGCTTAATTTTTTCTAATTGTGCAAAAAATTTGTATAGAAACTGAATCTGAGAAGTATTCGGGGCATAAATATTCGCAATTGTATATAGTTGATTTTCTATTGTACATATAAGAATAATCCATCTACCCATCTTATCAGTTTTCACATGCTTTATAGAGAGGTTTAATACAGATGAAAAAAAAATAGCTACTCCCCTATTTTTTTTGTCTTTAAACGAAGAACAGACTGAAATAGGAAAGTCTTTAAAGCTGAATTTTATCTTATCATCTCTCCGCCAGTGAGTCTCTTGTACTCCGACAACTTGCGCATTTTCTTTTTTTGCACGTTCAAATAATAATCTCCTTTTTTGTGGAGAATTCAAGCCCTGTGCGTTTATTGAAACAACACTAATCATGTGTTTCTAATCCTACTTTTTCCTTCTCTTTCCATATTCTATTATCTTATCTTCTAACTTATGTGATTGAGTTTTATCTTTCCTGGCAGACTGCGTCAACTTATGACATACCAAACAACATATGACACTTACAAAAAACACTACGTATAAAATAAACATCCCTTAAGGAAGTGTGGATGGTCCTGTGATTAGCCCTTTTTCACAGAGCCTCCAAATAGATCCCATTCGGGATCAATATTTTGATGCTGAACCGCCCCCTTCGGGGAGTATTTTTAGTCACATTATATTGCCTTTAGTCATAGAAAGTTTTCAAATAAACAATCCTGGTTATCCAGCTAACATACGGCATCACAAAGAGAGAGAGGAGAAAAAAAAAACCCTATGAACCTAATTTATTATCATTATAAATTATAATTTCTGGACCATAATCCATTTCTCTCATCAAAAAATCAGATCTTTATATATACTCTATTTATAATCATTTGTCCTTCTTGAGGTCTCTATCATCCACTTTCCTTTCTATCTGTGACCAATATCAATATCTGTGAACCAATATCATTATCTTGTGATCATTATTACTTGTGTGTTAATTTATCTAAAAAAAAAGAAAAAGAAAAAAAAAAAAGGATTTATCAATTCGTGCATCCTTCACTTATATTCTCTGCAGATTGTGAGCATAAAAATCATTAATCACACTAGTGAGTATCTATTCCCCTTGCTTGCCTTTAGCTATTACCCTTTCTCCCCTTTCTTCCCTTTCTTCCCTTTCCCTTTGCTATTTGAATGTATTCTTATTTCCTATTTCTTTTAAGTGCTCCAAACTTTATAAATATTAAATAACCTCATTTAGATGAATTTTCCAACTCCCATTTTAAATACGCATACTTATTATAATACATCTATATTTCATTTGTTCCTTCTATAAATCATTATCCCTCCTAATTCCATTAGTGATTTTTAACATATAAAGTGTCCGATGTGAGTATCATTACAAGTATCTATCACCTGAAGGATTTCCAATTTATATTTTTAGTGATAAGGTAAAGGTAATGTCCTTCTTTTTTCGTCTTCTCATCTTTTTCCTTATAATATTATACCTTCTAAAGATGTCTTCTAAGTCGACAAAAAAAAAAAAAAGGAATATCCTTTATATTGTATTATTTATCTTCTCTCCTTCATCCTTTATCTCCCTCCGTTGAATTAGTCTGATCGAAGTTCTGCTGTCTAAACCATTTTGAAATTGCCATAACATCTGAAAAAGAGTATGTCCTTGCTTCATAAGAAATTATTAATTTGCAGGAATACCTCCAGGAGTATCGAATATTCTTCTGACGTAGAATCTTTGTTTATAATGCAAACGGTTTTCTTTTAGCCCTAGTATAATATGAAATATCCGGAAAAATTATGATATTAGTGTATGGATCATTCAGTTTAATGAGTTTAGCTGCTTTTAAGGCTTGTTCTTTCATTTTATATGTCGAGCAGCAGATCATTACGTCTCTAGGCTCGCCTTGCGCCACAAAATCTGGTTTCATAATTCTATGGCATCTTTCCAGAGAATTCAATGGATTTGTCATTTGAATGCCTAATTGCACTAAGAGCTCCGTTATATGGTCTTGCAGTATATCATTATTAACAGATTCTGGAATACCGCGGATTCTTAAATTATTACGTCGAGACCTATCTTCAAGATCTGCAATTTTGAGTTCCAATTCAGCTATTTTTTGATTTGCTTTTCTCATATTGTCATCTGCAGAGACTTGCTGGAATTCCAGAGCTTCTAATTTTTCTTCATTTTGCTTAAATTTTTTTTCCAGCTGTATTAACTCCGTTTTAAATTCCATAAGACCTTCATGGATCCCATTCTTAATCTTGTCTAATTGTCGTTCAAAGCAGGACTCAAGATAGCTATGTAATTCTTTGGAGCTATAATCTTTAGAGGTCAGTTTCCTTTTTGGTAGACTCTTTGGTGACAGATTCTCAGATTCTTTGGGTGATTGAGATGAAGAGTCCGAAACATTCTGATGGTCTATTTCCTGTTTCTGTGTTAGCAACGGCGCTGAAAAGGAGAGCCTCCTATCAGTCTTGCCTTCTTGTTTCTTTTCTCTGTCTCTCTTGGTAAGCTGTTTGTTATCTTGGCCTTTCCTTGATGCCATGGCAAAAAAAAAAATATATATATATATATATATATATATATCTCGCTCCTTTTTTTTATCCTTTTTGATCCAGGTTCACTTAATTGCACTGAGAAACGTTATGCAGCTTGGTGTCTCCCTAAGTCCAGAGAGCAGAGGAAGTGCTTCTTATTTTGAACAATTATCTTGAACAGTTTATTTATTAATATGTTTTGAGACCTTCAGAGACCTTCAGAGTGCTACTCAGCTGTTTAGATATCATAGGTTATAGGTCTTATAGGTCTTAAAATCTCTAAAGAACCTTTTATACAGCTCAAGTTCTCATGCAAGACCCCCCATTTTTTGCAGTACTTCTGTACCCTCTATTTCATGCCCCTGTCTCACAGGACTCACTTGTCTGCCGGTTGTAATTAGGGGAAGCCAGTCCATCCAGTCTTCCTCGCACTGGGCGTCCTCAGTATCCGCCACTCCAACTCTAGTGCTTACTCGAGTGCTTGTTAGACTCCGTGCCTCTGTCCTCTGACATGCCTGCACCTTCCTACGGCTGTGTGCAAAAAAATCCGTCGCTGCTTCACTCCCCTAGGGCGTCAGCATCTTCATGAGGAGGACGTGCACTCCCGTACAGCGCTTCCGTCCTACGTCATCGCTCCTCCCCCCGACCCTTGGTGAATCTTTTGCCAGCCCTCTAGGCTCAAGTGCGCGATGGGCTCTGTCCATTTCTATTGGAGACTCCGGTGAGCATTGTAGGATGTTATTAAAGACCTTAAAGACAACCCGTAGGGTTTGAAAGAGATCTTCTTGTGGCTCAGAGGTTTCGGAGAGGCCTCTTATGCGGAGGTTGTTTCTCCGGCCTCTGTTATCCAAATCTTCATAATCCCGGTGATTCTCTCATCTGTAGTGATTTGTCTTTGCTAAATATTATGAACGCTGGTTTGTAGATGGTCTCTCTCCTCTTCCAGGTCACTGACCCTGTGTCCGACCTGTCTGATATCGGAGGACAGGGAGGTAATTTGGTCTTGGACCGAGGTTTCTAATTTCGTCAGCATCGCTGCTATATCCACTTTGGAGGGTAAGTTCCTAAGCATTGTGTGAATCTCCACATCTCTGTCACATGACACCTGTGTGTTGTCTTCATTCTCCAGTGATAATAGTTTTGTTTTGTCTCAAAAATATTTATGCAGTTCTCCAGATTGTTTGCTAGGAGTTGGATCTGGAAATTCTGGTGAGGTTTTGGTCCATTTTGTGTTGCTCATTTTCACATGTAGAAGGCTGAAAAGCTGCTTTTAGTGGCAGCTCGAGCAAAACACGGCTGTTCATGTCGTAATGGTAGCATTTTGTGTGGAACAGTATCAAATGCCTTAGCAAAATCTAAATAGATCATATCCACTTGAACACCGAGCTCTATAATAACTTCCTTTATTTCTAAGTTATTTATAGAAGACCATTAAGTTAATTTGGAATGGTCTGTCTTTCATAAAACCATGTTGATTCCTGATAGTGATATTGCTGTTCAAAATAAAATATAGGGTGTAATTCCTTAACAGCCCATCAAATAATTTCCCAATCACAAATGTGAAGTGCATAGGTGTGCAGTTTCTATGTTTTAACCCTTTTTAAATATAGTCACCACATCTGCTTTTTTCCAATCCTCTGGTATAAGTCATGAATATTAAAAACAGTGGAATGGATATTTCTATAATAATCTCCTCAGTTATTCATGGTTAAATATCATCTGGCCCTGAAGCTTCGTTTAAATTAACTTTATCATGTATTAACCAATCATCTGTTTGATGTAAGTCTTTTGTAACAGGGATTTGCTAATCTACAGCTATAGATTATTCTTTAGAATTCCTGTTTGTCCTGATTCTCCTTGATTAACACAGCAATCTGAGATCCCAATGGTGATACAGTTTAACTTTTAACCTTCTCGGCAATAAGGTACTTAAGAAACTTTTTATGGTTGGTCTTGATCTCTTTGGCTATGAGCTCTTAATTTTCTAGTTTAGCTCATCCAAATGTCCTTTTGTAAGCCTTTTTGGTTGCTGTATATCATTTCTTTATATATAGGAAATATAACAATTTTGAAATGGTTTAATGAAAATCTTACTATTGTTTTGGGGGGGTGGGAGGAGGTTCTTCTTGCATGGATAGTTTTTAATATCATTACATAGGACTCTATTTTGTAAATGCATATAAAAATTGTGTATTTATTAATACCTGTCATAAGGTGTTTTATTATTCATCATTCTATGTTGCATTATTATATTTATTCATGACTTTTATTTTCACATAAATTCTATTTATATATGCAAGTTAATTCTTGTCTTGCTATAATTATGATTGCTATTCACAGAAAGAGATTATGCTATGACTGACAGTTGCTCATCTATGAGATGATATTTTCCAAAAATAATTATGTATTACTTACAAAACAATAGATTTTTCATATGTGGGTTTTTGTTTTGTTTAAATTGAGTATTCATTTACTACTTACTATATTTCCAGTCTTATATTTAATTTATAGTATATTGTGGCACTTTCAGATTAATTCTTACTCCTTGGGAGACATATTATAAGTATGGTAAATCGACAGAAAACGGAAAAGGTTTTACAAACCTAGTATACAATTTCCACAAATGCTGTCATGTCCAGCTGCTTTCAGTGTGAAAATGTTCCTCATGTGTGAATAAAATTGTAGGGAATTGGCAAATCATATTTTGAAAAAGCTCAGTAAATTTACTATGCATTCCTTTAAAGAAACACTCCAAGCATCAAAATAACTGACACTGAATAATGAATTACAAATTGTTGTTTAGAACTCAGATTAAAAAGCTTGTTTTCATTATAGTCCATTGTCTCTGCCTTCTTTTGAAGTGGAAAGCTTCTGGCCAGTCGATAGAACCAGGTGTAGAATGGTGAGCAGATTTAGTCCTCCCTAGATTAAAATCACAGTTAAAGCTTATATAAGGCTGGTCGAAAGGAACAGAAACACAAAATGTTTTAAACTCACGAGAGCAGAGAAACTTGCCCTGAGTGAACTGTGGAAAGATGTGTCCCTGACCATCAAGCCAGCTGACAAAGATGGGGCTTTGGTGGTCATGGAAACAATGAAGTATGACCTGGAAATTATGACACAGCTCTCAGATATTAAGACATACCATAGGTTGCCTAAGACTTCTGCGGAAGAAATAGCATGTGGTATCATTGACACGGTAGAGAAAGCAGCCAGAGAGGGAGTTATTGACAAGGATCTGAAAAAGCTAGTGACACATCCAAACATTGAGTATAGTAGGTGGAAGGTTGGTGAACAGCACCCCAAATGGATTCTGTTTGTGCATACATTTTCCACTAAGTCTAAACACACAATCAGAAGACACTGGCACATCTTGAGTGATGAAACTGATCTGCAAAATGTATTTGGGGGTGTTCTCATAATGGCCTATAGAAATTCTAGGAATTTGAGACAACGTCTAATACATGCCAGTGATATAGTGAGGATGGAATCTTGGTTAACTCCTCCGAGAGGAATGTATAGGTGCGGGAGATGTGTGAATTGTAACAACACCATAAAAGCTATCTCTTTTACTCATCCCTGTTTAGGCTATGAGATTGACATCAAATCATATATGAACATACAAACATGGCTGCTATTCTGATGTAGGGATTTACCTGGGTCACCTGTTATTTTTATTTTGTTATTTTTTTTTTGTTATTTTTGACTTTTTATTTAGGGGATCCAAGATTCACCATGGGTCATCTTATGCACATCTCTATATATATCCTGTCCTCTTCACTCTACCGAACCCAGGATATCTGGACAGATTGATTACCCGCTCGGTTTCCTGTAGTCCGAGATTGTGACAATTTTTTAATTTATTTACTTTTCTATATGTTATTGTTCTTTTATTATTATTTTTCTTTATTACTATTTTTTTTGTGTTATTCTCCAGCTACTTACATCTATGGACTGTGGGGTGTCTTTTCCCAATCCCCATCCCAGAGCCCAGGGATCTGTTGTTATGTGATTACTTTTTTCTATTTTCTGTTATTACATATATTCTGTTATTATTTATATATATATTATATTTGGTTATGATTGTTTTTTACTCATTATGTTTCATTATTATATATGGGGCCCCATATATGCTGTGTATTGTATTTATTTTCTTGTGATTTCTTTAGGAAACATGTATATTATGTATGTATTACTGATTTAGATATTGTTATGGGGATTTATGTATTTTATCATTTATTGCTATGTTATATAAATCTGTTGGAATAAGTAAGAAATGACAAACAGATTAGATCTATTTGATTGATGATGTCTGGGTTGTAAAGGACACATGCAGTGAGGGAAAAAGTATTTGATCTCCTGTTGATTTTGAACATTTGCCTACTGACAGAGAAATGATCTGTCTTTAATTTTAATGGTAGGTGTATTTTAACAGTTAGAGACAGAATAACACAAAAAAAAATCCAGAGAAAAGCATGTTAAAGTTATAAATTGATTTGCATTTCAATGAGTGAAATAGGTATTTGACCCCTTCGACTTAGTACTTAGTGGCCACCCGGTTTGCACACATCTCAGGAGGGATTTCGTATCACTCCTCTTTGCAGATCCTCTCCAAGTCATTAAGATTTTGCAGTTGACGTTTGGCAACTCAAACCTTCAGCTCCCTCCAAAGATTTTCTATGGGATTAAGGTCTGGAGATGGCTAGGCCACTTCAGGACCTTAATGTGCCACTCATTTTTCTTGGCTGTGTGTTTTGGATCATGATCATGCTGGAATACCCATCCACGACCCATTTTCAATGCCCTGGCTGAGGGAATGAGGTTCTCACCCAAGTTCTCACCCCATCCATCATCCCTTTGATACGGTGCAGTTGTCCTGTCCCCTTAGCAGAGAAACACCCCCAAAGCATCATGTTTACACCTTCATGTTTGACGGTGGGGATAGTGTTCTTGGAGTCATAGCCAGCATTCCTCCTCCTCCAAACATGGCGAGTTAAGTTAATGCCAA